AGTATTACTTACTCTTTTCAGTATCTTTTCATTTCAAATGAAAATGTTTAATACTTTAAGGCCCAAAAGAAACACAGTTAAGCATGTAGAGGAAACGTGTTAGTATATTTCAGTGACTCCTATATGTATGCAGTCATATTTGCTTTCTTTGAACACCTTCCTTGTAAAGGATTAAACTGAAGAAAATGCAAACATGTTGGCAAACAAATGTATTATGCACAATGGGTTTAGATGAGAAAAAAAATTTAATAGAAAGATTCAAAATTTATTTTTTGTGAAAAGCAGTTTTCAATGAAAATAGCAGTTTTTCAGTTAAAAAGTAGTTTTTCGGTGAAAAAGTAGTTTTTCGGTGAAAAAACAGTTTTTTAAGTGAAAAAACAGTTTTTTTTTTAGTGAAAAAGCTGTTTTAAGGCGAAAAATTAGTTTTTCAGTGAAAAAACAGTTTTTTAAGTAAAAAATCTGTTTTTCAGTAAAAAAGCAGTTTTTCTGCGAAAAAGCAAAAGTTTTTTAGTGGAATAGTATTTTTTAGTGACAAAGCAGTTTTTCAATGAAAAAGCAGTTTTTCGGTAAAATGGCAGTTTTTCATTGGAAAACCAGTTTTTCATTGGAAAACCAGTTTTTCATTGGAAAACCAGTTTTTCATTGGAAAACCAGTTTTTCATTGGAAAACCAGTTTTTCAGTGAAAAACAGTTTCTTAGTCTAAAGGCAGTTTTTTAAGGAACAAAACTGTTTTTCAGTGAAAAAGCAGTTTTTATGTGAAAAAGCAATTTTCAGTGAAATAGCAGTTTTTTTTAGTGAAAAAAACAGTTTTACTGTGAAAAAGCAGTTTTGCAGTGAAAAAACAGTTTTTTTTAGCAAAAAATCTGTTTTTTAATGAAAAAGCAGTTTTCGATCAAAAGGCAGTTTTTCAGTGAAAAATAAATCTTTCAACTTAAAAGCGGTGGAAAAAAAGTGTTTCAATTCAAAGAGCAGTTTTTATCTGTTAAGACAGTTCATTATGGAAAAGGTCGCTTTTACTCAAAAGTAAAAACTGTTTTCGGTGTAAAATCAGTTTTTCAGTATTACAGTAGAAAATTTTGCATTTTCGGTGAAAAATTGCATTTTTACGAATAATTTGTATTTTTGGTGAAAATTTGCATTTAAAGTGAAATATTGCATTTTTATGAAAATTGTCCATTTTCTGTGAAAATTTGCATTTTAGGTGAAATATTGCATTTTTACGAACAATTTTTATTGCATTGCATTTTAAGTGAAATATTTCATTTTATGTGAAATATTGCATTTTCAGAGAACATTTGAATTTTAATTGAAATAGTGTATTTTATGTGAAATGTTGCATTTTCAGTGAACTTTTGCATTATAAGTAAAATATTACTTTTTCAGTGAACATTTTGCATTTTCGTTGAAATATTCCATCTTTTCAAGTGAATCCTAGCATTTTCGATAAAAGTTTGCATTTTTTGAGGGAAAAGGGGGAGAGAAGGGGAAAGAGGCAGGGGGAGGAACGGGCCCGGGGGACGAAAAAGGGCAGGGGGGGGAAAAGGGGCCAGGGGAGGGAAAAGGGGTCACCAAAAAAGGCACGGGCGCCAAAAAAGGGCACGGGGGACCAAAAGGGGACAGGGGAGGAAAAAGGCACAGGGCGACGAAAAGGGACAGGGCGAAAAAAGGCACAGGGGCACGAAAAAGGCGCAGGGGCACCAAAAAGGCGCAGGGGCGCGAGGAGGGACAGGGCACGAAAAAAGGCGCGGGGCACAAAAAGGCACGGGGCACGAAAAAGGAGGGGGGCAACGAAAAAGGAAGGGGGCACGAAAAAGGAAGGGGGCACGAAAAAGGCACGGGGGCGCGAAAAAGGCACGTTTCACTAAAAATTCACTTTTTCACCAAAAATGTACTCTTTCTAAAAAAAATCACTATTTCACTAAAAACTTTTAATTTTCACTAAAAATTTACAGATTTACCGAAAATTAAAATTTTCACCAAAAACTCACTTTTTCACGGAAAATAATTTGTTTAACAAAAATTTGCAATTTGACAAAAATCATATTTTTTTAACAATAATCATTAAGAAACTATATGCTTTTTCTCAATTTGTGGCCCATTGTGCCACATTAAGACTTTTATTTGTGTGCTAAAAGAAAAGCTCAAATAAACCAACCGCTTGGTTAAAAGTTATGGCTTAAACTCTTTAAGAAAAAGAGGAAAAATTAAAAGGTAAATAAGCGTAAATACTTTTCCTCTAGAACACACACAAACAAACAATGAAAGAATGAAAGAAAAAGGCAACAAATAAACAACAAAAATAACCGGAAAAAGAGGAAAAGGAAATGAAAATAATATTTAAGTTTAAGAAAACAGTAAAATAAACTCTTTGTTAGGGGTTAACAAATGTTATTAAAATGAAAGAAAAATATATAAAAATTTAAAAATAATAAATTTTAAGTTTTTTTTTTCTTTTCTTTTTATTATTATTGTTAATACTCTTTACTATAGCATTGTTGTTTAAATCCTATAGAAATTGTTAAAACATTTAAACAAAAATCAAGCCTTTTAAAACCTTAAATACTCTTACAATTTATTAGTTGTTATGCGTAAAACATAATTTATGTCGTTTTTAAACTGAGTAAATTTTACACTTAATAAATTTTTATATTGAATTTACGTTTTTATACATAAATTTTAGCCTAAAAACTGTAAAAGAAGAACTCAACTAAAGCCTTTTGCTATTAACCTTTTTTTATGGCAGTGATAGCTGAAAAAATGAAAGGGGGAAACACCAGGAAGGAAAAAGTTATAATCAGTTTTTCAGATTATTTTTTTTTTTTGCCTAAAGGAAATACCTTTTTTTATTAACAACATTACTTTAGTTAATGAAATTGTGTAGTTCCGCTGTGAAATTTAAAGAAAATAAAGTAAAAATTGTTGAATAAGTGGATATTTACCAGTGTGGTTGGTTTTTTACGTGTCGTAATTTGAAGTTTGAATTGGGGGAGAGAGAGTTAGAAGTAGGATATTGAATTTATTGCTTAAGGTATTTTTTAGATAAAGGTATATTTAGTTTATTAGAAGAGAACAACTTTGGCGAAGATAATAATTTATTGTATATGGAGGATTATTTGTTAAATTTAATCTTCTACTGAAATCTTAAAACTTATTTTCAAAAACTTTAAAAGCTCTAGATTTATATAGCGAAGAAAATTGGGGAAGATTTTCTGCTCTGAACTAGTTAGACTCTCTTAAGCTGCGGATGAGTTGCTTTAATCAAATGATCATTTTCTTTAAATATATTTATAATTTTACTTGATTACTTCTCTCTCTGAAAACTCAACAACAATGTTGGAGCTTCCTTTGTAAAAAGCTTTTAGAAAGCTTCAAACAATATCTCTACAAAACAGCGATCACGAAGTATCCAAAACTATACATAAGCATTTGTAAGAAAACCATTTGCTTCTCACTTCTAAGCTTTTGACCAAATCCTTGTTAAGGAGTTGAGCTTTTTGCAACAATAAAGTTAAAGTGTTTGATAAAAGTTACTCCGGTCTACCAGTTCTTGAAATTTAAAGAGATTTATGTATTTTTAGATTACAATTTCTAGGATATTTAAGCTTTCGGTTTTGGTATTCTAGAAAGCTTTGAAGTCTATTTTTGAAATCCGTCATATGTTATAGTGAATGTCAAGTTTTTGGTGAGAGCTTTAGGTCAGATCTTAGCTTAACAGTTATGCTTGTTGTGACAATAAATTTAAAGTCAAAAATGGTTAAATAGAAGCTTTCAAATAGCTTTGTAAAAAGAGCTTTTGTTGCAAAAGCTTTTGTATAATATTTATTCTTTAAACTACATAAGACTTGTAACTTTCATTGTAAAAACTTTTGTTTAACTTCAATGCTTCTCAGACTTCAAACGTTTGTACATTTTCTGTATTCAGAAGATTTTAAACTAAAAGCTTTTGAGAAATGATTTCTTCCATTAATAATGGTCTCTATAATCATTGGATTTGATTTTACTAAAGCTTTTCTGTGAAACTATAAGTAAGGTATCCTGATTACTGAAAATTTCTGCTTTCTGACCTCTGAGTTTTTAAACTAAAAGCTTCTGAGAAAAGCTTTCGTCCATCAATAATGGTCTCTATAATCATCAGTATTAATTTTACTAAAGCTTTTCTGTGAAATTATCCGAAAATAGATGGACAACAACCAGATTTCTGAAGCTTTCAGTGTTATTATCTTGATGAGCTTTATAATCAAGAACTTTTGGGAGGCTTTTATTTGACCTATTATGATAGTATAAATAAGGTTTTTAAAGTGATTTGACAAATTGTTCTTATTATGTTCAGAAAGCTTTTACATAATATCTTTGCTAATATTTTAAAAGTTTTATAGTGCAACATTTTTGCCAAAATCTGGCGGTAAAGTTTTTAAAGTAATTTGATACATTGTTCTTTTTAATTTCACAGTATGAGCTGTTAAAAGTTCCGTTGAAGCTTTTCCTGCAAAAGCTTTTGCATAATATCTTTGCTAATATTTGAAAGGTTTTAATGTGCAAAAATTTGTTGTCTTTGAAAAGAGCTTTTTGAGAAAAGCTCATGTTGATCTAAACTTTCATATCATCTAACTTTTTTACGATGTCTGTGTTCATTGAAATTGTAAGTACTGGAGCTTTTCTGTAAAACTAAAAGTAAAGTTTTCAAAAAGAACTCGTTTATAAAAACAGCTTTTGATTTCTCTTATGATCTCTCGATCCCTTTCTCTGTCTGTCTGTCTGTCTGTCTGTCTGTCTCTCTATTAGGGAGACAGATCTCTATGCTGTTGAAGCTTGTAGCAATTCAATGCTACATTTTGAGTAACGTGTTAGTATAAACTTCATTACTTCAACAATACTTTCAGTTTCTTTAAATTTCTAAACTCATCTACCCACTTTTCCCCCCAGCAAATTTTAACATAACTATAGAACATAACCAAGGAGCAAGTTATTTAAACTATTTTACTAATTAACAAACTCTTCTTCACTTACCCTTAATAAAATCCACAGCCATTTCCAAACCATAAGTATCCTTATCACAATCATCCAAGATATGAGCACCCAATGTAATATTGGGCAACAATTGTTGTTTATTAACCTGATCCAAAGTATAAAGCATGGCCTCTAAAGCTTGAATACCACCTTGAGGCATAATGGGGCCGCAGGTAATGCTATCCTCACGTGAGTGAACCATCATAAGACCGCCTAAAATAACGTTACCCTCCATTACGGAGGCATGTTTGACGGGCCAAGAGGGTGTGGTAGTGGTGGAAGTAGTGGCAAAGTTGTTGCTATATAAACTAGACATAGAAGTGGCCGCAGCAGATGATGCCGACGATACTAATGATGATAGTGAGGGTGGTGGTGAAGTAAGAGATGTTGTTAAAGTAGAATTATAGGAAAATGGTGGTAATGTTGCGGTTGATGTTGTAGAAACTAATTGCATTAGTGTTGTTGTTGTATAAGTAGTTGGTATAGTTTTGCTATCAATACTAACTGTGTTTAATCTAGTATTAACTAAATCATGTATTGATAAGGGTCCATTAGTAGTGCTAAATGAGTTGGCTACGGTAGTATTTTGAAGGCTTTCAGTAAATATAGAAAATGGTGATGATGTAGAGAGGGTGGTGGTGGTGATGGGTTGTGCCAATGTTGTTGGTGATTCCAACAATATTTGTTTTGCCACTGCTGTGGCTGACGTTTCAACAACAGTTGTAGGAGTTGTGATTAAGTATGTTTTAGAAGTTGTTGTTGTTTTCTCCTCCCCTCCTGTTGGGGCTGTTGTCATCATCGTATTAATGCCATTAATTTCACTGACAACATGTTCCTCATCAATAAGTTGAATATTTTCGTTTTTATTGTCATCTTTTGACTGCCTTTCCTTAGCAGCCAGCTGTTTATTATTCATTTTATTCTCAATTGCCGTCATGTTATTGCCATTTCCTTTAGTAGTTGCTGTTGTTCCTGCTGTAGTTGTATTGATTGCCAATTGTTTTTGTTCATCAGTAAATTTTAATTTACGTTCATCCGCTGTTTCCAATTCAACGCTTTCATTTCTAGATTTATTTTGTTTTTTGTTTTCAACGACAATAATTGATTTTGTATGATTTGGTGTTAGGGACTCGATTTTAGATCTTGTTATGGTATCGGTAATTGCCGTAGGAGCCATATGTTGCTGTTCAGTTTTTGTGTTGTCTTCGGTATAGTCGTGGGAACTTTCTGTGTTATTTTCTATTTGTGGTTTCGTAAGATTTGCTAAAGTTTGTGTGATGTTTTCTGGGTTTAAGATTTTTGTTTTGAAACGTTTTTCTCTTTGAAAAGTAGAACTTAAGGAATGTTGTTTTTGTTTTGCTAGAGTTTGTCGATTAGCTTTAATTGTTGTTAGTTTTAGTTTCTGATTGTTGATATCTGTAATGTTTTTAATTTCATCAATAGTGGGTGGTTGCAAAAGTTTTAAAGCTTTTTCATTACTTTCTTTTTCTAAGCTTTCTGTATTAGCTTTTAAATCAGCAGGTATTTCTATCTGTTCCGAAAGCTTTATACCTTTAAAGCCAGACTTCTGGGAACTCTCTTCTTCACCAGTTAAATTTTGATAAGAGACAACTTCTGGAAAGCTTTTTACAAGATCTTTGTTCTCATGATTAGAAGATTGTTTTGATAAATCTTCATTAGTATTTTGGAGAGCTTTGTGATCCACACCTTTTCGAAAGCTTTCACCAAGATCTTTATTTGTATGTTCCAACTGTTTTGACAAGAAAGTTTCTGACTGAAGTTTCTCTTTGGCGGCAGTTTTTGTGTTCTCCCTAGAGTCTAATTTTTGAGATCTTAACATTTTTGCATTAAAATTTACTTGAGGTTTAGAGTCAATAACTTTAAGAAAGCTTTTTGAATGATCTTTATAGCTTTCCCCCGACTCTGATGGCATTAACTTTAAAGTTTCAGAATAACTTTCCTGGGTAGCAGCTTTTGTGTTCTCTCCGTACAGATTTTTACTTTCAGAATCTAAACTCTGATTATTAACTTTCAGAGAAAGCTCAGGAGCTTCTGCCGCAACATCTTTTGTATCATTTATAAGCTCATTAGACTTTGACAATACCTGCAAAGCTTTTGAGGATATTTCTTTGTTTGCACAAGCTTTTATATTGTCACTAGAGAAATTTTTACCTTTAGAAACAGAACTTTGAGTTTCTAAGCTTAAGGATTCCGGGTAAAGCTCTTGCTCCTCTAAAGCTTTTGTTATAATAGCTTTTGTATGGCTCATTTTACTAATGCTTTGGCCTGTAAGCTCTTTGGATATGATATTTTTACTTAAACTTTTCGGGGGCAATAAATCTAAAGTTTCTAAAGAGAGCTGAGCAGCTTTTGATTCCTCCTGAGAGGATTCTTTATCTTTAGATTTTGACATCTGAGAACTTAGATTAAAAGCTGCTAAGGAGTGCTCTTGTATAACTGAAGCTTTTGGTGCAAAAGCGTTATTTTCATTAATGTTTTTGTCTTTTAAAGTAATTGCTAAATCCTCATTTTCTTCTTCCTTTAGCACGCTCACCTTCTCTTCCATTTGAACACCCTTTTCATTAAAAACAATTTGTTCTTCTTCATTATTTTTAAAGCTTAAATTCGTTGTATTTAAATTAGCTTTTTCCTCTTCCAACTTTTTGTGTAATTTTTGTGCTCTTGTGGTTGTTGTACTACTACTGTCTTCGTTGGCAGTTAGCTGGTTTTTATCTTTTTCAATTAAGTCTACAAAGGCTGCTGCTTTTTCAACATATTTTCCTGGCAAATCCTTTAAAATCCTTGAATTCAATCCTTTTTCTGTATTATCTCTTATCTCATTTTTCACGTTTACCTTTGTATACGTTTTATTAATTAAATTATTATTACTTATTAAGTTGTTTATAATTGTTTGTTTTACTTTTGCTACAGTTTTTCTAGTAGCTGTAGATGACAGTTTGGGGATATCGGGAGCAGCAGTGGTCATTGTTATCAAGGTTTTTCGTTTAAGCTTTATATAGGGACGTGTAATGTTAGAAGTAAAATGTGTTATATTTAATAATGCAGGTGTATTATTATGATGATGATGATGATGATTTGGGTTGTTGGTTTGGTTATTTGCAGCATTATTAGTTGTTTGGGTCTCAAGAGCTCCTATTATTTCTGTAGATAACTGACCGTCAGCAAATGTTTCAGTTGTGCTAGTTAATTTGACACTAATCTTTACAGTTTCAGCTGGTTTAGTTGGCTTATTTGTAGTTGTTATAATGTTAGTGGAGGTCCTTTTGCTGCTGTCGTTATTTTCTGTCTTCGTAACGGGTGCCAATAACAATGTTTTGTTATAATATTTAGTATAAACATTTCTAGCTGTTGCATCTTTAAGCTTTAGGGTCATTTGGGTATCAGTGTTGTTGACATTTAATTTGTTGTTTGCTGCAGCCACAGCAGTTGTATGAGTAGTAGTAGTAGTACTGCTATTACTAATGCTAGTACTATTATGTAAAATGTCATCTCTGACATGATGTTGTTTTTGCTGCACTTGTACGCCATCTTCTAGTTTTAAAGCAGGATTTGTTGCCAAAGCCTGCAGCGGCTGCCAAGCAGCAATACACATTGTTAATTGCTGTTGCTGCTGTATTAGCCATGTTATAACAATTATTTGTATAATTCTATTGTTAAGCATTTGTTTATAAATTTTACTCATATTAATCACATATAAAAACGTTTTGTTTTTATTCTTATTATTATTCAATTAAAATATTAGTTTTGTTGCGATAGCCAACATATCATTAATTATAATTAAATTGTGCTCTATTTTTTTTATTTATTTTAATAATAATTTCATAAATTGTTATAATTACTATTATCTCTAGTTGTTATTTTCACTTTATTATTTTAGAACATTTTAATTACATTTGCATTCCGTTTAAGAACACTTCATTTGATTCGTTGTTTTAATTAAATTTTTTTATTGTAGTCCAAGGACACAAAGTTTTTTTTTAATAATTATTGATGAAAAATCAATATGTACTTTTTTTTTGAAAGCAACCTGCAAATGAAATTGAAAGGAAAAAGGAAATAGTTAGTATTTATGAGACAAAGAAGATAATAAGAAAAATTTACAATTGTATTATTATTTCATTTTTATTACACCCTACACCATTATACTGTTTGGGTATAATAAGTTTATACCGATGTTCGTAACACCTATAAATATTGTTACTACAGCTTATAGTATATCAATCGGCTCAAAATCCCTTTCTGAGTAAGCTATAATATGTCCGTCCATCTGTATATCTGTCTGTCTATCCGTCCTTCTGTCTGTTCGTAGTTTTCTTTATAACACCCTACACAACTATAATGACAGGGTATTACGAGTTTGTGCTGATGTTAGTAACACCAATTGGCTCACAATCCTTTTCTGAGAAGACTATGATATGTCCGTCTGTCCGTCCTTCTGTATGTCCCTTTGTATATCTGTCTGTCTGTCTATCCGTCCGTCCGTCCGTCTGTCTGTTCGTAGTTAGTATTTATGAGTCAAAGAAGATAATAACAAAAATTTACAATTTTATTATTATTACACCCTACACCACTATAGAGGATTTGTGCTGATGTTTTTAAAACCCAAAAACATTGGTCCTACAACTTGTTACCAATCTCTTCAGAATCCTTTTTTGAGTAGACCATGATATGTCCGTAAATCTGTATGTCCGTCCGCCTGTCAGTCCGTCGTTGCGTAACTTAAATATTTGTTATTCAAAATAATCCACATTTTTAACATACATAATGGTGTAGGGTATTTTATGGTCGGCCATAACCGACTATACATTCTTACTTGTTTTATACTTGTCTGTCTGTCTATAACTTAAATATTTATTATTTAAAATAGTCCCCATTTTAACATACACCCTGGTGTAGGGTATCTTATGGTCGGCCATGTAGATTCTCACTTGTTTTATACTTTATTCTTACGAAAACTTTTCAAACTAAGGTCAAACTTCTTATATTAAAGACAAAAACTTTAAAATTTCTTCTTCTTACCCCAACGTTTTAACTTTTAACCCCTAAGCGCCATTAAAAATTTTGTACATAATACCTAACTTTAAAATTACAATTATAACAAATAATTTATTTGCTTATTCCCACCGAAAAAAAAATTAAATATTTATTTACCTGCTTATTAACATAAAATAAAAATTTCCCAAACTTCCCTAAATGTCATTTACCAACTTTAAAATAAAAGTTATAATAAAAACAAACAAATAAATAATAAAATTTGTAAAAACTTTTTCTTTCCACAACTCCAGGAAAAAGCAACATTTAAGGCAATCACAGCCATTTCTAAACAAATAAAAACAAAATAAAGCATATTTTTAGGGGTAAGAGAATGCTAGCAACTGTAATTAGCCTAAATGTTTAACATCCAGGCTATTTGTTAAATTTATAATTAGATTTTGTGTATTTGCTTATTAAGCAAATAAATAATCTATATACATAGTTATACATAGTTAACTATTTGAAGTGGTTAATCTTGTTTCTGGGAAATCAAAACAACTTTGGTATTAAGCAATTGTAAGGTAAGAAATGTTCTTAGTTAAATTAATTAACAAACTTTGGTTTTCCAAGTAATTTAAGGTAAATTGTTGCTATATATAATTTTAAACCTAGAATACATTAATAGGAAATACATTTGTGAATTTTACTTTATTTAAAGTTTTGCAATAAAAAATAGTAGTGGGGGATTTTCATTATACTTAGGCTAATTGTAATGTTTGTTGCTTTTAAAAATTGTATATCTTTTATTGTATTCATTCATGTGATTTTTTAAGAAAACCACCTCCATAAGTGTTATTTTATTTTGTTGTCCAACAAGGTATTTTTTAGTTAAGCATCATTTGGAATTTTCCTTTTTAATCTTGTAAGAGGATTATTACGAAAACATTAAGTAAATGCTGGCAACAGTAATGCTAAAAGTAATAGCAAAATGTTTTAAAATAATTTTAAATTTCTAGAAATTACTTAGCGGAAAGGCTTACTCAGTTAGCGAGTTTGTTCAGTTTTTTTCATTCTTATTTCAAATGTCAGTACAGTGTAAGTGGTGAGAACAACCACATAAAAGTTTTCCTAAAAATTTTACTTAATATTTAAAAAGGAAAAAGAAATTATATACACGTGGGATGAAGAAATATTTTGCTCGTTTCGTAGCAATTCGTAGTTCAATTTTAGTTCAGTTCTAGTTTAGTTCTAGTTCATTTCTAGTTCAGTTCTAGTTCTGTTCTAGTTCTGTTCTAGTTCTGTTCTAGTTCTGTTCTAGTTCTGTTCTAGTTCTGTTCTAGTTCAGTTCTAGTTCAGTTCTAGTTCAGTTCTAGTTCAGTTCTAGTTCAGTTCTAGTTCAGTTCTAGTTCAGTTCTAGTTCTGTTCTAGTTCTGTTCTAGTTCTGTTCTAGTTCTGTTCTAGTTCTGTTCTAGTTCTGTTCTAGTTCTCTTCTAGTTCTCTTCTAGTTCTGATCTGTTCTAGTTCTGTTCTAGTTCTGTTCTAGTTCTGTTCTAGTTCTGTTCTAGTTCTGTTCTAGTTCTGTTCTAGTTCTGTTCTAGTTCTGTTCTAGTTCTGTTCTTGTTCTGTTCTAGTTCTGTTCTAGTTCTGTTCTAGTTCTGTTCTAGTTCTGTTCTAGTTCTGCTCTAGTTCTGTTCTAGTTCTGTTCTAGTTCTGTTCTAGTTCTAGTTCTGTTCTAGTTCTGTTCTATTTCTGTTCTAGTTCTGTTCTAGTTCTCTTCTAGTTCTGTTCTAGTTCAGTTCTAGTTCAGTTCTAGTTCAGTTCTAGTTCAGTTCTAGTTCAGTTCAGTTCAGTTCTAGTTCAGTTCTAGTTCAGTTCTAGTTCTGTTCTAGTTCTGTTCTATTTCAGTTCTAGTTCTGTTCTAGTTCTCTTCTAGTTCTGTTCTAGTTCAGTTCTAGTTCAGTTCTAGTTCAGTTCTAGTTCAGTTCTAGTTCAGTTCTAGTTCAGTTCTAGTTCAGTTCTAGTTCAGTTCTAGTTCAGTTCTAGTTCAGTTCTAGTTCTAGTTCAGTTCTAGTTCAGTTCTAGTTCAGTTCTAGTTCTGTTCTAGTTCTGTTCTATTTCTGTTCTAGTTCTGTTCTAGTTCTCTTCTAGTTCTGTTCTAGTTCAGTTCTAGTTCAGTTCTAGTTCAGTTCTAGTTCAGTTCTAGTTCAGTTCTAGTTTAGTTCTAGTTCAGTTCTAGTTCAGTTCTAGTTCAGTTCTAGTTCAGTTCTAGTTCAGTTCTAGTTCAGTTCTAGTTCAGTTCTAGTTCAGTTCTAGTTCAGTTCTAGTTCAGTTCTAGTTCAGTTCTAGTTCAGTTCTAGTTCAGTTCTAGTTCAGTTCTAGTTCAGTTCTAGTTCAGTTCTAGTTCAGTTCTAGTTCAGTTCTAGTTCAGTTCTAGTTCAGTTCTAGTTCAGTTCTAGTTCCGTTCTAGTTTAGTACTAGTTAGTTACTTAGTTATACAAGCCTTGCTATTTCTTTATCCACCGCTATCTTATTTAATTTAATTTAAATATTACCCTGAAAAAACTACTAAGAGGCCCAGACCAAAAAAGTTGAAAAAAAAAACGCATTGCCTTGAGAAAAAAATATGTTAATTGGCAATACATTCAATTTACAAATTAAATTTTACACCCCTGTTCAAATAGCAATCAATAAGTAAATGGAAAATATGGAACATTGGTCATGGTCTCAATACAAAATATCAAACATTTACCATAAGTTTTATTTACTGTTCGTTTTTTTTTCCATTCATTCATTTTCTTGTTAGACCACATAATGACAGGACAACTAACAATTGAGAGTCCTTGCTAAAAATGAACAGTATTCAAATTAAAAATGTCTGTTGAATAAACTTTAGTAAAAAAAAAAAGTATTTTTTTCTCCTTAAGGATGCTTCAATGATTTTTGATTCGATTCAGAAAATCTAATTTGTTGCCCTGTAATAAAATATTTTTTTTTCTGTCAATGATTTTAAGTAAATGTTATTAAAGTTGTTTTTTCTTTGTTAATATTTTGAAGATGTAATTTGTTTGTTTATTAATTAGTTTTTTTTGTTAATTTTTATGGTCGATTTTTCCAAGGAAGTTTATAATAAGTGTATGCCTTTTCAATTTAATTAAAAAGCTATTCCCTGGTTATTTTTACAATGCATCAGAAAACGTTTTGGTTTCCCTCCCAGTATGTATAAATCTTTGCAACCTCCATTGATCATTGTCCATTCACTAATTATAGCAAAAGCTTCCATTTAGCTAAACTGCATAAAATATGTAAATGCTGAAACTCAAATGCAACTTAAACTGACCACGAAACATCTAACAAAAGCCACTAATTAAGTGTTAGAATTACAAATCAATTTAGTGTGAACTAATCCAAAAATATAAACTACAAAAACCGCACTCTTTTAGCTCCGTTGTACATACTTCTTTGCCAATCAATCACATAAAAGTGCCAAAAATATTTAAATTAAGATTAATGATTTAATCAGTGGCAAGGGTAACAGCTGCATATAGCAACATCAAGTTTGCATTGTGTTATTTCTATTGATGTTTTTCCCATTATCATTTCTATACAATAGAGAATTTTTAGCAACAATCCAAAAAAAAAAAACCCAACATCATATCGATTATTATTTGGCTTTAGTACATATTTTTGTGAGAAAACCAATTTAAAGTT